TGGCCCTTGTAGCACCACTTGCTGTGTGGGGGCCACCTTGGCCGAGACGTCCAGCGGGACGGTCCCTTCTGTCCATGTCTTGGGTTGGAGCCCATGGTGCCAGAATCTCAGGAGTTCCTTGGCCAGCTGGAGGTGCCAGAACTGGCCAGGTGGGCTGTGCCAATCACTGGGCCTCTGGAGAGCTCTGCAGGTGGGGCTGGGAGGGGACTGCTGGGGTCTGTTCCCTTGGAGCAGGGACCTTCACTGCACCTGAGAGGGACGGGAGCAAGGCCGCGTCCGGGAGGCCAGTCTGGCCATCTGGGCTGGGGGTGGAAGCACCCCTGGCCCTCACCCCCCACCTCTTCCCTGCCTGCCTTCCCGGGGTCTGGGCTGGGGCCGGGGGCTTTGGGACCCCACGGTGCCCTGGGGCGTGGGCTCTCTTCACTGAGGGTCTCTTGGTTGAGCACTGGCTCCTGACTACTCACTTGGCCTTCTCAGTCCTTCTCTCAGATCTCAGCCAGGCAGCCTTGTGTGGGCTGAGGAGGTGGGGGTGGAGCCCCTGAGTGAGTTGCTGGCCGCGGTGGAGGGGAAAGGCCCCTGAGGAGCTGCTGTTGTACGGCTGCCCCGCCTCCACGCGGCTACCTCGCCCCTCCCCACAGCACCCGGGCCTCATAGACGTGATCTCATCCAGCCATAAGGACCCCCGGGAGGTGGGCCCGGTAGAGGGGCGGGTTAGTGGCTGATGCCTGTCCTCTTCTGTGTCAAGCAACTGGGAGAAACTGAGGCCTGGTCAGGAAGAAGTACAGTCCAGCTGCCTGCTCTGACTGGGAAGTGTGGCCAGCGCGAGGGTTCGGGGCGGACGTTGGGGAACCTGCCCCCGTTGCTGAGCATGGGCCCCAGGCCATCCGTAGTCAGGCCTCTGGCCGGGCCAGGTCAGGGGGATGGGTTGCCGTCTTGGCCAGCTCTGCAGCAACTCTCGCCCTGCCTGGGCTGTAGCTCAGATCCCACGGGGACACGGCCCAGCGTGTCTGCATCCAGAACCTGCTATCCCCTCTGCTCTCTCGCCAAACGCCGTTAATGGCTTCTCCCAGCTACTGAACCGGCAGCTGCCTCCAGTGCTGGCGGCCTTCTGCTCCTCCGGGGCCGCCCCCGCCCGCCTGCGCCCCGGCCTCCGCCTGCCCGTGCACTCACTCGGTGCTGCTTGCCTGTGTTGCTGGCAGGGGAGCCCTGGGCTCAGGTTTCCAGCAGGAGCGTGCAGAGCCCTCCCTGCTCTGTGTGTGGAAGGCACCAGGGCCTGTGGGCTGCCCTGGCAGCAGTCCACCAGAGGCCAGCCTGCGTGCCTGCCTCAGAGCGGAGCTGCTGTGGAGACAGACAGCCCTTCTGCACGGTCCCCATCCTGCTCCTGTGCCCTCGCCAGGCCTGCAGGAAGGGCACGGTGGGTGGAGCTTCTCCCCCAGCACATCATCGCTGTCTTCCTCGTCCAGTGGTTCCCCAGAGCCACTCTGTCTGGCACCTTAGCTGACAGAGGCGGGTGTGTTGGGTAACCGAGGAAGCCAGCTGCCCGCACAGGCCGCTGACTCTTCAGTGTCCCGGAGTGGCTGGTGGGGGCGGGCCTCCTCCGACCTGCAAGTGTCCTCTGCAGGTGGGCCATAGCGGCCCTGTCTGCTGTTGGGCCCGTGGCTCTCGGAGGAGGGTTTGCTGGGGGGCAGAGCAGGCGTGGGGGGCGGGGGAGCAGGGGGGGCACGATGGGGCCCTTCATGAGGCAGTGTCGCAGTCTGGGGACTGGAGTCCCAGTTGAGGGCGGTGCTCGGGGCTGGGAAAAGGCTCCAGAATGGGATTTTGGAGGTGTCTTGGACCCCTCTCAACTGGAAGCAGCAGCTGTATCTAAACAGTGGGGTGCAGAACAGGCCCTGTGAGCCTCCTCGGGCCAAGTGAGTCGTGGGTTAGGAATGGCTCTGCCATTCCTTGCTTACAAGGTACTGCAAGTAGGGACACCTCCAGAAACATCCACTCCAGGAAGAGGGCTGGACACGTGGGCCCTGGGCAGCCTCCTGCACAAGGGGGCCTCTGCCTGCCCTGGAGACCCCGCGGGAGTGGCTTGCCCTCCCTGTCTGACAACGTGCTGGCAGCCGTCCAGTAGTGACCCTTACCCTGATGGCCAGCCCCTCACAGGCAGACAGCTGGTGTCGGGAGGGACAGAGCAGTGAGGGTGTCCTGGTCGAAGCTGGGGTGGCCCGGTGAGAAGGTGGCCCTAACCCCTCCAAGTTCCCTGGGCTGGAAGAGGCTGCCTGCCTGGTCTGTCACCCAGGCTGTGCTGGGAGCGCTGGGACCCAGCGTCTCCGCTGATGGCGTCGGCCTCAGGTGAGCCTGGGGTGGCTGTGGGGCCTGAGCACTTTGACAGAGATAAGACATCCCAAAAGGGGGAGGCAGCCGCACAGGAAGGCCACGGGCTCGGAGACAGGAGGGCGTTTGGTGCCGGGGGAGCTGAGCAACACTGAACACTACCCACATTGTAATCGGAGAGGGGCCGGGGAAGAGAGACGGAGCAAGGCAGCTGACCCCACGCTCCCGGGGGACAGGTGGGAGAGGCGGAACGAGGAGAGAGTGAAGGATTCCAGAGGTGGGCCGGCTTCCTCTCTTGCAGACAGACACGGGAGGGAGTTGGGCAGCGGGCCAGCGCCGTACCTGCAGTTCCAATCTGTGGTCCTGACAGCTGCAGCCACTTTGGGGAGGGGGAGGGGGCTCATCGAGAGCGGAAAAGTCCCAGCCGACACATCAGCGGGCTGCGGCTGTGTCCGGGCAGAGGGGAGGGGGTGCCCGGCCTCATCCACGCGCTGGTCTTTGGGGCTGGGTGACCCCCCCCCAGAGAAGGACTCGGGTCTGCCTGCCCTCAGTCAACCTGGTCTGGGGTCTCGGTGTCGTGCCTGACCTGAAGGGGTCACATGTGTTTCCTGGCAGCCTGCAGGTGCTGAGCAGGGTGGGGGTGGCTGGTCCCGCGCAGGCAGCCTGGTGGTGATGAATCATGTGGTGCCGCCAGCCGCTGGTTCCCCAGCCTGGGGACAGGGAGCTGACAGCTGAGGCCGAGCCGAGCGTTTCCAGCCCAGCTCAGCTCAGCTCACAGGGGTGGCTGCTGGCCCAGGGTGCCGGCTGGAGGAGGCGGGGGCCTTCTTCCCAGCTGTCTCTGTGGGGCACACGCAGAGGGAGCCCTGGATCTTTGTGCTGTGGCTCTTCAGTGTGGTGGAGGGTGAGGCAGGGCTCTGGCTGTGGCGGGCAGGTAGCACCTGCCATCCGTCAGCGTGGGCTAGCCATGGGCTGGCTCGTGTGGGGCCACTGTGGGGCGGCGCACACTGCCCCCGGTTTGGTCTCTGGTTTGAATCTGTAGCCGTGGAGGGTAACTGAGTGTTCCTCCAGCCCCTCCCCTCCCCACCCCTCCCCCTGCTGGCTGTCGGGCCAGGCCCTCGGCCCCTGCTACCGGTGCAGCTTTGGGAGCGGCTGGGCTGCTTGCCCAGGTCTGAGGCTGGCCAAGCTGCAGCCTCGTCAGAGTCAGGCCCTGCAGTTGAAGCCTTGGCCGGGCGCGTGCCGTACCCCAAGCATCTGGGCCCCTGGGGAGCCTTCTAGCCCCAAAGCCTCCAGGTCCGTCCTTGTCTCTTTCATTTGGCTCTGGTTGATACCCCATCTCCAGCTCTTGTTTGGTAGACTCTGACCTGCGCAGCCCCCAGCAGCTGCTCCCGGGTTTCCCTGGCCTCTCACACCAGGCCCTCCTCTGGGCCAGCCCTCCCTCGCACTGGCCCTCAACCAGGTGCTGCCCACCGGTGCCGGTGCCACAGAGACCCCATCGCTCTGGCTCCTGTTTAGCTTCATGGCCTTCCCCACGGCTGGCGGCTTCTGTGCCAAGGGGTCCCTTTCCACATGGCTTGGCTTGCTCTCTGCCTTTTTCAACGTCTGTTTCTCTGATCGGTCCTGACCCTGGCCAGGCCGTTCTGACCACCGAGGTGGATGTCCACTGGTGTCCATCCTCCTCAGGTTGGGTCCAGATCTGGACAGGTGAGGACTGTGGGTAAGTGGTGCTCTCGCTGAAGGACACGGGTAGGCCAGTGCGGGGCTGGCCAATGCAGGGGCTGGCCAGTGCGGGGGCTGGCTTGAGGACGAGGGTGGGGGCCGCTGCCCCCTGCCCCGTGCAGGCCCCTCCGTGCCAGGTTGCTTCCTTAGTTAACATGTGTCAAAGAAACCTTGCTGCCCGGACAAGGCTCTGCCCAGAGACCATGGAGGGAAGGGCGCCTCCTCAGGCCCCAGCCATAGCCCCGGGTCTCGGGCAGCAGGGGCCTCCAGCAACCCAGTGTGCCCCCGCGCCCCCCCCCCCCCCCCAGCCAGCTGTGGTCTCCTGCAGGATTAAGGGGAGGAAATTTGGGGTTGGGTTTCTCTCTGAACGAAACCTGCCGCTGTGACTTTTTATCCTGTTATATTTCTATCAGATTGGACACAGCCCTCCCTCCCCCCCCCCCCCCCCCAGCCTTAATGGCTCTGGCTTTGAGAATTTCCTCCAAAATTACACCACCGCTTCCTGCACCGTAGTCCCCTGGAGCCCATCCATGCGGAGGAGGGGCAGCTTTGTCTCTGCCCGGTGAGGATGCCCACATATTTCTCAGCACCTGGTCTCCCCCTGGGATGGAGAGGTGTCATTGCCGGGCTGGGGGCCGGGGCTGGGGGCCTGGGCCTTGCCAGCCACCCAGCACCTGGTGTTCCTGGCCATCCCCTGCTCAGCCCCCGCCGGAAGCCAGGCTGCTGGCCTGGCTCAGTGGGGAGGCGGCCCTTTTCTCTAGTGTGCCCACAGAGCTCCCTCCACCACTGAACTCATGGTCACCTGCAGGATTTTAATGGTTGGCCAGCTGTGCACAGCACCTGGTGGGGTTCTAAGTCAGCCTCCTTAGGGGCCAGGGAGGTGTTTGGGGGGAGTTGGGTGGGACAGAGGTTGATGGCCAGGAGTCCTTCTATTGTGCTGTTGGGATGAGTGGGATGTGGTCTCTCAGACCCAGCCTCAGCCCCCAGTTTGGTAACTCGCTCTGCTGGACAGCACTGCTGCCTGTCCAACCCTGTGTCCGCTTAGAACCCGCACACTGGTGCCTGGCTGTGTCCTCCTCGGGGTGCGGGGCCTGCTTCTGCCCTGCCTTCCCTCCATCCCGCCCTGCCCCGCAGGTCCCAGCCGCTGTCAGGTATTCAGGCGCGCCTGCCTCGGCCCCTGGAAGGGAGATGCCCCAGGCAGGCCAGGCGGGCAAGATGGGCTCCGAGGCTTGGCCTAGGGCAGCCATGGGGGTTCAGATCCTTCCAGAGGACAGTCTGCCTCCACACTTGGAAGATACTGCTTCGTTTTTAATTATTACAAAACTTCCAGACTTTATATTATCATATCAGAGATGCAAGATGCCAACAGTTGGCCCAGGTCGAGAGCCAGCATGGAAAGTTCCAGTGGGGCTGGGCTACTCAGTCAAGTCACTGCCCATCTGTCTGTCTGCCTGTCCATCGGTCCTGTTCGCAGCCCGCGTGGGGCCGGCCTGGTTGGTCCGCTCTGAGGTGGGCTCTCTGGCGTCCACCTCTTGTGGCCGCGGGCCATCCTCCTAACTTCGGATTGCCGTCTTTCTGTCTCGGTCTTTACTCTGCAGAACGTAAGGGGAGGGGGTCAGGGCCTGGGCAGGGACCCCACCCCGGCCCGGCCTCCCCGGCCTCCCGCGGGGGCAGCTGCCGTGCAGCCCCGCTGTGAAATGAGGTTTCCCAGGCGAGCAGGCCCCGGGCGCGGACTGGGGAGGAGGCGGGGGTTGGGAGAGGCTGGCGTGCGGGAGTGCGCCCGCGTCCCCCGCCGTCCCGGCCCGGGGCCCCCGCGGGGCAGGTGGCCGGCGGCCGCTCACCAGCTTCCTCTGGTTGCTGAGGCAGAAGGTGCAGATCTGCTTGGGCTGGGCGTTCTCGCCGCCGTCCCGCGCCGGCGCCGGCGGCGGGGGGCTGCCCGCGCGCGCGCGGAAGAAGGCGGGCCCGGCCAGGCAGGGCTGCCCGTCGCCGCGCTCGCCCACCAGCAGCACGTTGCCCAGGTGCGAGATGTAGCTGGAGGCCAGGCGCAGCGTCTCGATCTTGGAGAGCTTCCTGTCGGCGGGCTCGGTGGGGATGAGCGTGCGCAGCGCCGTGAAGGCCGTGTTCACGCTGTTGGTGCGGTCCCGCTCGCGCGCGTTCGCCGTGTGCCGCTGCCGCGGCTCGCGGCCCGCCCGCGCCGCCGGCCCGGGCCCCGCGCCCGCCCGCCGGGCCCCCGCGCGCCTCCGGGCGCCCTGCAGGCCGCAGCGCGCCGCGTGCACGCGGCAGGGCTTCTCGTCCGAGCCCGAGCTCTCGCTGCCGCGGTCCTCGTCCTCCGACAGCGGGCTCACCTCGGGGTACAGGTAGCGGCCCGGCGGCGCCGAGCGCAGCATGGCGGAGGCCGGGGCCGGGGCCGGGCCGGGCGCGCCGTCAGCTCCGCCGGCCGCCGCGCATGCCGCCCCCCGCGGGCGCCGGCCGCCGGGCCGGGGCAGGCGCGGGTCTCGGCTGCGCCCCGCGGTGGCGGCTGCCGGGCGCGCGCAGCACATGTGCGTCCGGGCTGGGGCGGGCCGGCGCGCGGCGCCTTTATAGCGGCGGCCCCTCCCCCGCGGCCCGCCGCCGCCGCCTCCCGGCCCGGCCCCCGGGCTCCAGCGGGGCCGGCGCCGGCCCGGGGCCGTGCCCAGGGGTCCCGAGCATCAGGCTGGCGTGGGGACGGGGGCGGGTGGGAGTGCCCGAGGTACCGGAGCCCCAAGAGCAAGGTCCCCCCCCTTCCCCCGCGGCTGGACACGCCTGGCCCGGCTAACCGGTGCCTGGCCGCACCCTGTCTCTTCCTCTCGGAGCACTTGGGTCCTCCCCGCCGCCTGCCTGGCAGCCCCGGGAGTCAGCCGCAGCGGGCACGTGTGTGTGGGGGGGAGCACAGCGCATCCACCCTGCACCTGCCCGCTCCCCTCTCTGGGCCGGGCAGCAGCTGTGCTGACTCCCAGGCTAGCTCTTGCGGAGGGCACACCTGTGTAAGACCAGGTCTACAGGAAGGAGAGTCGGCCTGGCGGGGGTCCGGCAGGCCTGCTGGGAGGGCGGGAGTAGGCAGGTGCGGGGTCCTGCCTGGCTCTTCTGCAGGGGGCTGCAGCGCCCAACCATGCTTGCTGTTCTTGCTGCCTCCCTCCCCGGTGGCTACTGTTGCAGGAAGCGGCTGCCTGGGCAGCCGTCCCCGGGCTGGGAGGAGTGAGGGTGGCGGCTGGCAGGGGCTGAAACCAGGAATGTGTGTCCCGGAATGCGGCTGCTCTGCCTACCACACAGGGAGGGAGGGGGCGGGGGGGGGGTCCCGGACTGCCACCTGTGGGGCAGAGGGCAGAAGTGTCCCCCGGGATGGGTGGGATGGGGTCTTCCTTGGTCGCTGTTCCGTAGCTGCCCACTTCTAAGGTCCCTGCCAGGGGAGGGAGCCCATGAGCGATGAGGTCATCTGTGTCTGTGGCTGCCCAGAGCCCTCGCCAAGGAATCCGACAAGGGGGAGGCTCGGGTTGGCATCACTTCAGTGGAAAATGTGAAGGTAAAGCTGCGGCGCCTCCGAGGGCCTGGGGTGGAGGCAAGGGGGGTGGTGCCGGTTGGTTTGCCACGTCAGACCCGAGGGCCAGAGCAGGGGCACATGTCCAGGGGCCTCGAGGCCGGCCCTTGGCCCTCTCTGCTTAGCCCCGGTGGCTTTCAGGAGGCTGGGGTGGGGGACAGGTGCTCACACGGTGTCCGTGCCGCAGGACATCCGGAACACGGTGGGCAACGTCCCCCTGGCGTGGTACGAGGACTTCCCACACGTGGGCTACGACCTGGATGGCAAGCGCATCTACAAGCCCCTCCGCACCCGGGACGAGCTGGACCGGTTTCTGGACAAGATGGACGATCCAGACTTCTGGTGAGTTGGCTCTTGCAGCAAGGCCCCTGGGTCCCCGGGGCCGGACGCGGCTCTGACCAGCCACCCCACAGGCGCACTGTGCAGGACCGGACGACCGGACACGACCTGAGGCTGACCGACGAGCAGGTGGCCCTGGTGCGGCGGCTGCAGAGGGGTCAGTTTGGGGATGTGGACTTCAGCCCGTGTGAGGTAGGTAGGAACGGCGTGAGGTCGAGGCCCGAGGCGGGTGGGTATGGGCGGGGCCTCAGCCCCGGGCTTGTCTCCTCAGCCGGCCGTGGACTTCTTCAGCGGGGACCTCATGATCCACCCCGTGACCAACCGCCCTGCTGACAAGCGAAGCTTCATCCCATCCCTGGTGGAAAAGGAGAAGGTGGGCCGGGTCCCCTCCGCCCTGGAGCCGCCCCGGCCAGCCGGGCTGTGTGGGCAGGTGCCCTGCTGACCTCGGCTGTGCGTGTGTAGGTGTCCCGCATGGTGCACGCCATCAAGATGGGTTGGATCCAACCTCGTCGGCCCCGAGACCCCGCCCCCCGCTTCTATGACTTGTGGGCCCAGGAGGACCCCAGCGCTGTGCTGGGGCGTCACAAGATGCACGTGCCTGCACCCAAGCTGGCCCTGCCTGGCCACGCAGAGTCCTACAACCCCCCTCCTGAGTACCTGCCCAGTGAAGAGGAGGTAGCCCTGCACCACTTCCCCGCTTGCCTGTCATGGGTCTTTTTGGTCCTGGGGCTTGAACTCAGGGCCTGGGCGCTGTCCCTAAGCCTCTCTGTGCTCAAGGCCAGCGCTCTACCCCTTGAGCCACAGTGCCACTGGCAGCTGTCTGGGAATTGACCCCGGGGTCTCATGCGTGCTAGGCGGGTGCTCTACCACTGAGCCCCCTTCCCAGCACGCACCTCGCTTCTCTTCCCCAGCGCATGGCATGGGCACAGCAAGAACCTGGTGAGCGGAAGCTCAGCTTCCTGCCACAGAAGTTTCTGAGTCTGCGGGCTGTGCCTGCGTACGATCGCTTCATCCAAGAGCGCTTTGAGCGCTGCCTGGATTTGTACCTGTGCCCACGGCAGCGGAAGATGAGGGTATGTAGGTGAAGCCTGCGGGGGGGGGGAGGGGGGAGGCTCGGGGTGACCAAGTCCTGTCTGCCGCAGGTCAATGTGGATCCCGAGGACCTCATCCCCAAACTGCCTCGACCCAGGGACCTGCAGCCTTTCCCTGTGTGCCAAGCACTGGTGAGTTGGGGTTCGGTTGGGGGGGTGGCGGCAAATCCCTGAGGTCAGTTTGTCTCACTGCTCCTCCTCTGCAGGTCTACAGGGGCCACAGCGACCTTGTCCGCTGCCTCAGTGTCTCCCCGGGGGGCCAGTGGCTGGTTTCAGGTGGGCCTGGGGTGGGGGCAGCCCAGAGCTGGGGGCCGGGTGGGAGGAGCAGATGCTGAGGGCCTTCTCTGCTTACCCAGGATCGGATGATGGCTCACTGCGGCTCTGGGAGGTTGCCACCGCCCGCTGTATGAGGACGCTGCCCGCGGGGGGCGTGGTGAGAAGCGTTGCTTGGAACCCCAACCCCACCGTGTGCTTGGTGGCCGCAGCCATGTGAGTCTGCCACCCGCCCTCGGTGAGGCAGCTGGCGGGTGGGCGCTGTGCAGAGGGGCTGCATCTGGCTCTGGTTCACAGAGACGACACGGTGCTGCTGATAAACCCGGCGCTGGGGGACCGACTGCTGGTGGGCAGCACAGACCAGCTCCTGGGTGCCTTCACCCCCCCTGAGGAGCCCGTCCTGCAGACTGCCCGCTGGCAGGAGGCGTCGGAGGAGGAGTGTCAGTGGGGCCTGCGGCTTCGTATTTGCCACAGCAAGGTAAGGGGAGGAGGGCGTCGAGGAGGGCGGGGTCCGTGCAACCCAGCCAGCTAGTCAGCCAGCACCGTTCTGCAGCCGGTGACACAGGTAACCTGGCACGGGCGAGGAGACTACTTGGCCGTGGTGCTGGCCAGCCCAGGCCACACCCAGGTGCTGATCCACCAGCTGAGCCGGCGTCGTAGCCAGAGCCCCTTCCGCCGCAGCCACGGCCAGGTTCAGAGGGTGGCTTTCCACCCCACCCGGCCCTTCCTGTTGGTGGCCTCTCAGCGCAGCGTCCGCATTTACCACCTGCTGCGCCAAGAGCTTACCAAGAAGCTGATGCCTAACTGCAAGTGGGTGTCCAGCCTGGCTGTGCACCCGGCAGGTGAGGGGCGGGCCGCCCCACTGGTGAGGGGGGAGGGGTGCGCCGTGCAGGTCGAGTGAGGACCCCCGTCTGCCTCTGGCCACAGGCGACAACATCATCTGTGGCAGCTACGACAGCAAGCTGGTGTGGTTCGACCTGGATCTCTCCACCAAGCCATATAAAGTGCTGCGGTGAGCTGGGGGAGGCTAGGGGCGGCCGGCGGCCCCTCTCTCCACTGAGCCCACTCTGAATCCAGCCCTCCCTTAGGCACCACAAGAAGGCGCTGCGGGCCGTGGCCTTCCACCCTCGGTACCCGCTCTTTGCCTCTGGCTCAGATGACGGCAGTGTCATTGTCTGCCATGGCATGGTGTACAGGTGAGTGCTGCCCTGGCGGCCCTGGGGTCTCTGTGGAGCACTGTGTCTCATGGTGCCCTAACCCCGTCTTTCCACAGCGACCTGCTGCAGAATCCGCTGCTGGTGCCGGTCAAGGTGCTCAAGGGGCACACGCTGGCTCGAGACCTGGGCGTCCTGGATGTGGCCTTCCACCCCACGCAGCCCTGGGTCTTCTCCTCAGGGGCAGACGGCACTGTCCGCCTCTTCACCTAAGGCTGCCGCCCAGCGCCTGGGTGGCCTGGACTGAGGCAGGAGGGGGGTGCCCAGGGTTCTTGAGTAGATGCCTTTCTCCCCACCGCTGCTGCTTTTTTGGGATGGTTAGCAGCCGGAGCAAGCTCCCTGCCACAGCGCAAAATCTTCACCCGAATAAATGATCCAAAACTGGGGCGAGGGCCCTCTCCCCTCTCAGCAGCGCTGAGAAGGAAATGGCTTTATTGAGAATGAGGCGAGCGTGTGCTGAAACTCCTGGCTAGTCTTGCTTGTGTGGCGTGCCCAGCCTCAGGCAAACTTCACCAGGCGGCCCAGCGTCTCGGCGGCCTTCTCCCTCACCCCGGGTGCTGGGTCCCGCAGCAGGAGACGTAGTGCTGGGGAGGAAGAAGAGGCTGCTAGTACACATGCCTGGGCCCCGGGCCGCCCACTGCCTTCTTCAACACACAGGCCTCTGCTGGGAGGGCTTGAAAGCCAACGGAAAGATAGTTTTTCCTTTTTTAGTGTTTTTTAAGCTCTTTTGGAACGGTTAAGAAGTTTCCGTGAATTACTAGGACGATGAGGTCACCAGTGACAGGGAAGAAAATCCTAAAATCCAGGAAAATCACTTAGTCTTTGCGGGTGCCCACAGGGTCAGCAGGGCCCCAGCAGAGCTGGGCAGGTTGGGGTAGCACGGGTAGTTTGTGCGTTGGCCAGAGACTCACCTGTAATGAGCTGCTCCAGGTCCACCTGTGGCCTGTGCTCAGGTTCTGCGTGCAGCACCAGGAACCCTGGTGGACAGCTGGAGTCAGGTGTGCAGTGCACACTTGGGGTGGGGGAGGGGGGTGGCGCGGAGGTGCTCACCTGTGAACAGGGGCGCTGCAGCTCGGACACTGTCCCAGCTGCTCTTGAAGTAGAACAGGCTGGTGCTTACCAGGCGGCCCAGCAGGTCGGGGAAGTGGTGCATCTGTGGGGGAGGGGAGGCGGCCGGGGTCAGGGCCCCCAGTCCAGCCAAGGCAGGGCCCCTCCCTGCGGGCCCACCTCACCAGGTGCTTGCAGGTGGAGTTGAGGAACTCTCCAAAGTGCAGGCTGTGGCCCTCCTGTAGATGCTTCTGGAAGGCCGCTGCCAGCTCTTCACACTGCAGGTGGGGTATGCACATGCACAGGGCAAACTGGCAGGCCTGTGGAGAGCAGTGCTTAGCCGGGCCCCTGCCAGGCTGCCGGCCCGGGCCCCCTTCTGCTACTCACACTGGCCACAGGGGTCTGAGGGTCCTGCAGATGCAGCAGGAGGGGCACCAGCCCACCCACAACCTGCTCCAGAAAAACGTCCTCACAGTCGCCGTGATAGGCCTTGTTGAGGTGCCCAAAGAGGCGGATGGACGCGGTCCGGAACTCCATCTTTTCCTGGGAGAGATGCGACCTTGTCACCTTCCGACCGCCCTGCCTCCCCTCCCCCCGGTGGTGGGATGGGAAAGCATGGGGTGCGGCCCACAGCTGGGGCAGATCCGGGGCGGCTGTGGGTGCCGGGGGCCTCCACCTCCCAGAGAGCCTTGCAGCAGCCCCAAGCACAGCTCCTGAGATGGGGGGGGAGTGGTAGGATGGGCTGGGTGCCGAGGACTCCGAGGTGTGTGCTCACTGCACCCCCACCTACACTGTCAAAGAAGGGCCGGATGCGGATGGCCGTGTGCAGCAGCACCGAGCGCCGGTCCCCGGGCTCCACCAGCTCCAGCAGCCGTGCGAGCCCCAGCATGGCTTCCAGGGCCACCAGGCTCTGCGGGTCGTCCCCGTCGTCCAGCCCACTGATCATGGCTGTCAGTAGCTGCGGTCCGTGGGCTGGCACCTGGAGGGAGGGGCCCGTCTGTGTAGTGCGTCCCAGCCCCCTCCCAAGAGGCGCCCCAAGGCAGCCCCGAGGAACCCACCTTGTCAGGGGCGCCAGATGCAATGTTGGCCAGGCCCCGAAGTACCAGCCGCCGCACGCTGGCGCTAGGGTCCTTCTGTTGGGCTCTCAAGCTCTCCAGCAGTGACTCCAGAAGCATGAGGTCGTTGACGACATTGCTGCTAAGCAGCTGGAGGCAGAGTTGCTGATACCATGTGGGCCCACTGATCCCCACCCAGGCTTCTCAGAGGTGTGCCGGTGAATTGTCCTCCCACCTCCCATGGCACTGCCCTGGCTGGGCTTTTGACCTGGGCCAGGGGCGCTCCAGGAGCCTGGCTTTTCTAGGAGTTGCCAGGTCATCTCCCTCCCACCTCAGCCCTGCACCTGTGGGATTATGAGCAACAGGCCGAAGCACTGTTTGAGAACAGGGAGCCTCTGCCCAGGCTCCTACCTGGGCCAGGAAGGCTGTGGAGGTGGTCCTCTGCACCTCGTACACCCCGTTCTGGGTGCATGTGAGTACTTTCAACACCAGCGGCAGCCGGGGGCCTGCACACCTGGCCATGGCACTGGAAAGTGTACAAAGTAGAGCTGCCTGTGTCGGGTGCTGGCAGACCCCCACCTGGCCGGCTTCCCACTTCCCACCTACAGAATGCCGGGCTGAGGGTTCCAGGCCGCCCACACAGCCTGGCAGCATCTGGCCTGTTTACCTGGCCAACTGTGTGACCCCGTCCTCATGTCCTGCCGGGGTTCTGAGCATCTCCCAGCCTCCCTCCTGCTCCATGCACTGCACCACGTCCCGACTGCCTCCGCAGAGCAGCAGGGCCTGTAGGGCGTCCACTGCAGAGCTGTGGGGAGAAGGCCCGTGACAGCAGGTGTCCCTCCACCAGGGGACCAGGCTCTGGTGAACATGAGTAGGGGCTCAGCAGGGCTGGCGTTAACTGGCCAGGTGCCTCAGTGGCAATCACGGGCTGAGCCACCTAGCCATACCCAGACTTGCCAGGACCCCGGGGCCACGTGCATAGGTTCCATCCCTAGGCACATCCCAAGCTTGGTGATTTGGCATAGATGAGAAGGAAGAGGGCCGAGCAGCAGATGTGCAGATTCGGTGAGCTGGGTCCCAGCCAACAGCCAGTCCATGCAGTGGAGCCACTGAGGCAGGTATGCAACCTGACAGCAACTGGCCCTGCGGCTCAGCTCCGTCCTGGCCTTCTCTGAGGGGTCAGCTTCCTACGCCCCAGCTGTGGCCTCACAACTTAGGAGCAAGACCAGGACCCGCAGGCAAGGGCGCAGTCCATCATCAAAGCAGCTTACCACCTAACCTAGGATGTGGCACTGTGTAGCAGAGAATGTGGGGGGGCACGGGGTCCTCCATGAGACCCAAGGCCTCCTGGCAGCTCTGGCTTTGGGCTGCAAGCCACGCAGGCCCTAGCTCACAACTGAAAGGGCCCCTGCAGTCCGCCTTTGGGAGCGGCACAGCCCCCCCCCCCCCCCCCCAGCAGCAGCTGCCACTGTCCACAGCCACTTGGCTTGGTCACCCCTCCCACCCCACCCAAAGCGGTCCAGAGCCCAGGAGAGGCTCTGGAAGAACTGTCTCCAGCGTGCACAGCGCCAGGCACAAGGGTGTGGCACATTACCTGCAGGGCTCCAGGTTCCTGGCCGGCCGGGCAGGGCCCGTGCTCCTCCTCTCCTTGGCCTGCAGGTTCCGGGGCAGCTGGACGCCGACAGTGCAGCTGACACGCAGCAAGAGCGCTGCGAAAAGCTGGGGGTAGAGTTCAAGCACGGCAGGCGCAGACGCAGGCGCAGACATGACCTCGTAGAGTGCGCAGGTGGCCTGGGGAGGAGCCACCACAGGGTCAGGCTCCTAGGCCATAGTGACATCTGTACTTCCCACCCCGGGTCCGAGGGGGCCTTAGCAGCATCACGGTGGAGGGTCCTGCCCCCAGGGCACGGTGGAAGGGGCCTGGGGCTGTGCGAAGGGCTGGACTGGAAGGAGGCAGGCTGACGGTGGTACAGTCTCACGAGGACCATCTGTTCTTAGTTCCTTAGAAAGGGGAGGAAATTCTCACAGCTGCTTTACTGCTTAAAATATGGCCAGGCTAGGTTTATTTTTTTCTGCAGGATAAAACATGGAGTAGGCTCCCCTGGGGGCCGACACCTGCCTGGCTTTATGAGCCTGGCCTCCAGGCTGCCAGGCACCTCCAGGGTGCCGGGGTCTCCCGTGGGGGCAGGGCGGCGTGTGAGCCCTACTCACCGCGAGGGGCAGCAGCGTGGCCACTCGGTCAGGGGTGCTGCCCAGCAGAAAAGTCCGGCTCTCCTTGAACGGGACATCCCTGCGCATCTTCTCCATGAGCAGCCCCAGGACCTGGGTGGTGAGGCTGGGCTCCACGGCCAGTGCCCGCCACAGGGCGCAGGTGTGACTGGAGGAGGAGGAGAAGGGAGAATGGCACCGGGAGCCCCTGCCCGCCAGCACTTTGTCCTGCAACCCACAGCTCCACCCTCAGCTCCGGATCCCAAACCTGAAGTTGTTCCTTCTCCAGAACCAGCTGGCAATAAAGGACAGAGAGAAATCAAGGCCTGCACACTGGGCCTGGGGCAGGGTAGAAGGTGCCGGGTTGCTGCAAACGCAAAGTAGCAGCTGTGCGCATCCCAGGCGCGAGGGCCCACACATGGCCGAGAACTAGGGGTGTGCAGACAGGCAGTGTCGGTCAAGCACTGAGGAGGAGCCCGCACAGCGGGCAGTGGTGCTCCGACTGGCCAGGGAAGCCACGTGCCCGTATGCTTACACAAACACAGGACCAGCTTCAGAACAGCTGCTGCAAACTAGACACTCAGAAATAGCAAATGTGGAAGGGAACCAGAGAAGTGCACTTAGTGGACACTTCTGGTGCCAGGGTGGATACAGCAGAAGAGAGAAGCAGTAAGCTGGAGAGCAGATAGAAGCTACCCAGGACCAAGTCAGGTGAGTGTGGGGGGAGGGGGAGGGGGTGGTCTGGAGCAGGGGTGAACTGGCATAGGACAGGCCAACGGCTTCTGGCCTGTGGGAGATGCTAGCCTTCCGAACAAGCCCAGCAGCTAACAAGCAAATGGGAACCCCACCCCAGCAAGACATCCGATACATGTCCCAGACCCTCAGTAGTAGCAGTGCTGCACTCAGGGGGCTCACACCGGCAAGTCCAGCCTCTCAGGAGGCTGAGATCTGAGCTGCTAGGTTTGAAGCCAACCTTGGTAGGAAAGTCTATGAGACTCTTTATATAAAAACTATCCCTTCCCCCATCAAGGAAAATAAAGAGCTGTTAGTGGAGTTCTGCCTGAAGTGGTAGGGCACTAGCTGAGCAAAAGAAGTTCAGGGACTGGGCTGGGAAGGTGGCTCAATGGTAGAGCGCTTGCCTTGCATGCCTGAGGCCCTGGGTTCGATTCCTCAGCACCACATAAGCAAAAAGCCAGAAGTGGCGCTGTGGCTCAAGTGGTAGAGTGCTAGCCTTGAGCTGAAGAGCTGAGGGACAGAGTTCAGGCCCCACGACTGGACCCAAAAAAAAAAAAAGTTCAGGGACAGTGCCGAGGCCGGGAGTGTAAGCCCTAGGACCAGCACACACCAATCAAATAACAAAATCCAGAGGCTGCGTTGACACGTGGCAGGCAACTTAACAGGGCCTGGCCCCCCGATTGGGATGCACAGGTCCAGCGTGCCAGCGCGCGGCAGCACTCCCGCAGTGGAGGGCGACCACCCTACGGGGCTCAGAGGCAGCGTACTAACAAAGGCGTCCCAAGACCTTGTGCTGGCCGCTTCGAGGATGCACTGGTACAGTCACCAGAGTGCTCACTGCCTGGCGTGGTTTGCGGGCACAAGCCTGAAGAGCAGAATGGAGACAGCAAGTAGTATTGGCCGGGATGGGGCAGGCGGCCACTGGGGTTTGAACTCGGGACTGAAGTGCTGTCCCTAGCTTTTCACTTAAGGCTGGCACTCTACCCATGAGCCACAGCTCATTTTTTGGTTAATTGGAGATAAAAGTCTCATGAATTGTGTGTGTGTGTGTGTGTGTGTGTGTTGGTTCTGGGACTTTAACTCAGGGCCTGGGCGCTGTCCCTGAGCTGCTTTTGCTCAAGACGCACTCTGCCACTTGAGCCACAGTGACACTTCTGGCTTTTTCTGTGTAAGTGGTACTGAGGAATCAAACCCAGGGCTTCATGCATGCTAGGCAAACACTCTACCACTAAGCCACCTCCCAGCCCCTTCCTGAGCTTTATATTTTTATTTATTTATTTAGTCAGTCGTGGGGCTTCAACTCTGAGCCTGGGCGCTGTCCCTCAGCTCTTCAGCTCAAGGCTAGCGCTCTACCGCTTGAGCTATAGCACCACTTCCAGTTTTCTGAGTGGTTTATTGGAAATAATAGTCTCATGGACTTTCCTGACCAGGCTGGCTTTGAACCGTGATCCTCAGATCTCCTGAGTAGCTAGGATTACAGGTGTGAGCCACTGGTACCCAGCTATTTATTTTTTTATTTTTTATTTGCCAGTCCTGGGGCTTGGACTCAGGGTCTGGGCGCTATCCCTGGGCGTCTTTTGCTCAAGGCTAGCACTCTACCACTGAGCCACAGCACTTCTTCTGGCTTCTGTTTATGAGGTACTGAGGAATTGAACCCAGGGCTTCATTTATGCTAAGCAAGCACTCTACCACTGAGCTACATTCCCAGCCCTTCCTGAGCTTTTTGCTGAAGGCTAACTCTCTAACACTTGAGCCACAGCTCCACTTCCAGATGGAGGTGAAAGTCTCATGGACTTCCTGCGTAGACTGGCTTTGAGCCACGATCTTCAGATCTCAGCCTCCTGAGTAGTGCACGGGCACGAGGCGCTGGTGCCGTCTGCAAGGACAGTCTTGGCATCGCCCACTCATCAGTGAGCCGGTCGGTCGGGCAGCCTTGGGGGCCACATCAGGGCACACCTGAGAGGCGGAGCTCCACAGCTCCGTCAGCAGATGGTCACAGGTCAGAAAGGACAGGGGCAAAGGCAGGGAGGACACCACCCAGCAGGCTGAAGGGCACTGGGTACCTGTCAAAGGGCAGAGGGCTACCCAGGAGGCTGGACACCACAGCCGCGCAGTGCTGGGAGGCCAGGAGGTACACACTGTGCTGGGCAGCGGGCAGGACATGGTCTTCCTGGGTCTCCTGGAGCTTGGAGCGCAGCATACTCACAATCTCAGGCACCTGTGGACCGGGTAAGACAGGAACGGATGGTGAGGGATGGAAGATGGCAGTCAGGCTGTGGAGCAGGGATGGTCCAGGACACTCACTCATGCCAGGCCCAAGGATGTGGGGCCCTAGAGCACCCTGGTGAGTCCCATGAGCCATGAGGGGCCAAGTCCCTACAGATGCAGCCATAGGCATTCAGCAGAGAAGCCCAAGTGATCCTATCACGACCAGCTAAATACCGTGGCATTGGAACAGCCACACACAGAGACAAATGAGTTATAGCTCAGAACACAGCGTTTGTTTGCCTTGTGTGGACATTCTAGGTTAGATTCCCAGTGCAGCCAAAACGGGAGAGGAAGGGAAGGGAGGGAGGTAGGGAGGGAAGGAGGGAAAGGGGGTAGGGGAGAAGGAAGGAAGGAAGGAAGTTAGGAAGGAAATAGGTGAGAGGGGAAGAAAAAATGCCGAGTGCTGCTGGCAGCTAAGTGTGCAGCACGTGGAACACGGCTGCGGGGCCCAGCCAGCGGGCTAGGTGAGGGCAACAGAACCTGTCGGTGCTTTGAACGCCACAGTGCAGTTCTCGGCCGCTGGAAGCAGGGCCACACTGCGAGTCAGGCTGGGGGCCGGGGCACCAGGGAAGGAGAAACAGACTCCAGGGAAAAACGGGAATATGGGCAGGCGAACAGGGAGGACTCTGGTCCTGGGACTACCCAAATCCCCCAAGCCCAGCGGCCTGGCTCCATCTGGACCTGGCTCTATGCAGTCTCCTGTGGGCCCCACGTCTATGCTGGCCTGTTTCCTCCAAAGAGCTGAAGCTGGGGGACTGGGGAACACTGGAGTGGGAGGCGACATTCAGCAGGGGCCGGGTCACAACCCATCAGTCGTCCTGTGATGCCAGAGAAGAGAGAAGGGCCTGACTTGGCAGAGTGTGAAAAGTGACATCGAGAGCCGGGCTGATGCCTGGAATCCTATCTGCTCAGGAAGAGGGGAGGAGCGCAGCCCACCAGCCCAGCAGAGTTCAGACTATCTCAGCCAGTATCTTGGCGCTGGTCCTCTCGCAGGCGTCTGGGCTGCCTGGGAACGGAGGGAGCAAGGCAGTGGCACGCGCTGTCACCCAGCTGCAGCAGAGGCACAAGGCAGCGTCAAAGTCTAGGTGTGGGACACAGCAGAAAGGCAAGATGGCATCTCAACCTAACCCGTACCAGGAAGGGCAGGAGGCCGGGCTCATTGGTAAGTGTCCCCTGGCCAGCCACAGCCCCACCAGCACCAGCACCAAGCAGCGACGGACGTGGGAGCAGCTCGCACTGCCCTGGGGTCTGCCACGCTGGGAAAGGCAGAAAGCACCCCGCTTGGCACTGGATGCAAGAGCAGCACCCCCTCGCTGCTCAGCACTCCGCCGTGCGGGATCCCTGATCCCTGCCCCCCACAGCACCTTTCACTCCCAGCCTCTGCATGCTCGGCCTGCCGGGGCTGCTGCAGACCCGACAGGTCGGCTGCCACAGGTGGTGGAATCTGCCTACTGCCAAGTGAACCGTCGTCCTCTGGGCTGCTCTGGAGAAGTCTGGCCTGTTTTCTCTGCCGCTGACCCACGCTCTCAACCCCATCTGACGTGTTGGGAGGAAGGAGATTCTGCATCTCCCACAAAGGTGTCTCGGGCTCAGGTCTGGCCCCGGCCGGGCCCTGCTGCATGGCGGTGACCAAGCCCCGCAGTGGCTGGGTGGGGAGAGTTTCCATACCACTTCTGGGGCTAGAACCCTCAGCCTGGGCCCCGTGCAGACGCCTGCCCCCCGGATGAGGGGCTTCACAGTAGCTGCCCACTGTGCCAGGCAGGAGTCTGCACCCCATGCCCAGGCTCTTTGGGGCCCACACCCTGGCAGCCTGACCCTCCTGGGGCTCTGCTCCTCCACTTCACTCTGCACTCCTGGGGCAGGCCCTCACCTTCCCGTCAGCCCCGTCTTGCTGTTGTTGGAGACAGCTCTGTGGCAGCCATCATGAGTGGTTCCTGTGCACCCATCACACAGCCAAACCCTGAATACCCCATAAACCCTAAGGAAACTCTGTCCTTGGGAGTAGTCAGTGCAGACGTCAAGAAACAACGTCTACTGTCTTCTCCGTGGCCCTGCCTGTTCTGACCATGTCCTGCGCAGACAGCGCCCGCCACGGCCTTTCCCATGGGGCCTCCACACTTGGCATGATGTTGACGCTTCGCTCCTAGACGGGGCCGATGCCATTCCACAGCATGAATGGACGGGGCCGATGCCATTCCACAGCATGAATGGATGGACCACACGTCCTTCTTCTTCTTTTTTTTTTTTGGCCAGTCCTGGGGGTTAGACTCAGGGCCTGGAACCAGGCGAAACTTAGAAACTTGTATATAATGGACTAATCGACAGGGTGAAAGGCACTACACAGAATGGAATACACATTCACAAGTTGTGTATCTCAAAATATATAGAACACACTACAAGTGCAACAAAAACATTAAACTGGCCGGGCGCCGGTGGCTCAAGCCTGTCATCCTAGCTACTCAGGAGGTTGAGATCTGAGGATCACAGTTCAAAGCCAGCCCGGGCAGGAAAGTGCATGAAACCCTAACAATTAACCACCAGAAACAAGGAAGTAGAAACTGTGGCTCAAGGTGGAGAGGGCCAGCCTTGAGCAGAAAAAGCTTAGGGACAGTGCTCAGTTCCTGAGTTCAAGCCCCACGACCCACAAAAGAAATAACTAAACTGATCAGAAAATGGGCAAAGGATGTGGATATTTTTCAGACAATACAGAACCAAGTGGCACTGTAGCTCAAGTGGTAGAGCACTAGCCTTGAGCTGAAGTTGAGGGACAGTGCCCAGGCCCAGGGTTCAAGCCACATGACTGGAAAAATAAAACAACAACAACAAAATAAGACTAATATAGAACCAGCTAAAGGACATGCAAATAAGCCTGACATCATTACCCATCACAGAAATATAAATCAAAACCACAGTGAGATACTACACTACCCAAGTGGCCACTGTGGAAAAAAGACTAACAAGAAACAAGAGTGGAGCCTTGTACACTACAGGAGGCTGTGAAGACACAAGCAGGCTCTACCGCCAGGAACACGCCTGACAGACCGAAGCAGCGACGAGAGGCGTGCAGCTGGTTGTGGTAGTTCACGCCTGTATTCCTGGTTCTTGGAGGGCAGAGACAGGGCAATCTCAAGGTTTTGTTGTTTGTTTTGCCAGCCCTGAGGCTTGGGCACTGTCCGGGAGCTGCTTTTGTCCAAGGCTAGCACTTTACCACTTGAGTGCCACTTCCGGCTTTTTCTGTGTATGTGGTACTGAGGATTGAAACCCAGGGCTTCCTGCGTGCTAGGCAAGCGCTCAACCACTACGATGCATTCCCAGCCCAAGAATCTCAAGTTTAAGGACAGCCTGGACAAAGGTAGCAAGATTCTATCTCAAAAACAAAGTAAGAATAAGAGGCCTGGGACACAGCTCAATTTGTAAAGCTCTCATCTAACAAGGAGCCCTGGGTCCAATCTTCAGTCCAAGTGGAGAAAGGGGGAGTGAGTGGGCAGGGAAGGAGAGAGGGAGAGAGGGAGGGAGGGAGGGAGGGAGGGAGGGAGGGTGGGTGGGAAGAGAGGCATTCACTGTCATAGAACTCTTAATAGCCAAGAGACCCAAGTGTCCCCCAACAAGTGAGGAATGACCAGAGTGTGTCTATTCCATGTGCACGTCCTGCATGTGGACGTCCTGCCGAGAGCAGGCCTAGCACCATGGCTGGCAGCCACCATCTGCAGCCTGGTCCTTCTCTGACCTGGGGAGCCATGACACCCAGGTGTCACAACTGTCCTCCTCCGCCTCCTGCTCGCCCTCTTCCTGGATCCCGAGGCGGCATCTAACCGTCTCTTTCGGGACACTGTCCATCTCAGGTCACAGCTCGGGAAGCTCCCTGGGGCGTGAAGCTGCAGCTGGCCTCACCACTCCCCAGGGAGCCTCTGCTCTCCAGGACTCCCAAGCACCCTCTCTATGACCCGAGGGCTGTGCGGATGGATCTGCGCTTGCAGCTCCCTCCACGCCTGTCTGGCAGGGGCCAGCGGCAGCCCCGTGTGGGAGGCTGGAGCCTCGGGCCTGTGGGGTCCCTGGGAACTGCGGAGTCCTCCACAGTCACAGGGCTGGGAGTCCGACAGCCGTGGGACTCGGCTTTGCCTCCCGCTCAGTTCAGTACTCAGCGGCTCTCGGTGCTGCCTGTTTATTCTTCAGGACAGGCCTTGCTACAGCCTTGCCCAGGCAGTCTGTCACTGCTGGGCTTGAGTGATTCTCCTGTTTTAGCCTAAGCCCGAGCAGCCTGACTACAGACAGGCGCCCCTGTGCCCGATGCACATCTCCCTTGGGTTCCCCACTCCTTAATCTCTTAGCAGAGTTTTTTTTTTTGGGGGGGGGGTCTGGTTGTGGGGCCTGAACTCTGGGCCTGGGCACGGTCCCTCAGCTCTTCAGCTCAAGGCTAGCGCTCTACCACTTGAGCCACAGCACCACTTCTGGCTTTTTTCTTTTTGCTTATGTGGTGCTGAGGAATTGAACCCAGGGCCTCAGGCATGCAAGGCAAGCGCTCTACCACTGAGCCACCTTCCCAGCCCTTAGCAGAGTTTCTTTTATGAAATTCTAACTTGTCATAAGATAGAAGAAAAAGATTGGTTCATACTAGGCCTGAGTGAAAGGGGACAGAGCGGTCACAGCCAAGCCAGGGCCAGGCAGGGGAATCAGGGTGCGGGGGGGGGGGGGGGGGGGGCACCACGCCCCTTGCCTGGCCCTGCCTCCCCCCTCCATCCCCCCACCCCCGCCCTTCCCTGCCCTGCCCGGTCCTGCCCGGCCCTGCCCTGCCATGCACTACCTGGCCCTGCCCTGCCCTACCTGGCCCGGCCCTGCCCTGCCCTGCCCTGCCCTGCCCCACTCCCAGCTGCAGCCTCACACCTTCTCCAGCAGCATGTTGCCGCGTTCCTTCAGTAGACAGTTGATCATGACAGTAGCCGCTCGGGAGCAGTTCTTGACAGGGTCCCCCAGGCTCTCAAACATGGTTAACAAGAGACTGATGAGCTGGTCAGGTGGGAGGCGCCTGGCAATAATCTGGAGGAGGGTGGTGTCAGAAGAACAAGGAGGCAAGGTCAGCCCTCCAAGACCAAGCCTCCTATGGAAAACCTCCGTGCTCCTCCGTATTGTCTCCCCTCCTGCCTTCCCCACGCAGCCAGGCCAGCTCACAGCAGGCATTCCCCACCAAGGGCGTGGAGGAGGGCCTTGGTTGGGCCGCTCCAGGCTCTCCAGACTGCAGGGAGCCCAGGGCAGGCAGGTGGCCGCCGCATCCGGGGCACCCCAGGAAGGGCGTGACTCCCTTTGCTTAGCACCGGACAAAAGTCCCTTTCCTGTTCTCCTTAGACAGATGATGGGCCTGAAGCAAAGGTCAAGGAAGGGCAAAATGCACTTCAAAAACAACGGCAGGCAGCATGTCACGCCTGACCTCGCCTGACCCCGCCTGACCTCGCCTGGCCCGGCACCCGATTCCCAACAACAAGGATCCTGATGAACCCCCTCCCCTGGTTTCCATCCTCCTCTGCCCAGGACCTTGATCCCAGAGGACTGCCTCAGGAAGCACAGCAAAGCTCAGAGTGAGGGCCAAGGAAGTGCCAATGGAGAGGGGCAACGTGCCCCACTCAGAGCTTCGCCAGGCCTCAGAGACCGCGCAGCCTGCAGCCTGCAGTCCAACTGAGCCCTTCAGTCAGCTGGAAGCAAAGGCCCTGAGGCCTGCAGACTCGGCTGCACACAGGGTCTGGCATGACCCTGTCTTCAGTGAGCACACGGCTGGAACAGGTGGCAAGAGCTGCTGGGCAAGTCTGGCCTCACACACAGTACCCTTCTCCTGCATGGTCGTGGTGCCCCAGCAGGCGGGCTACGGTCAGAGACGGCCCCAGAAGGATTTCTGTGAGGAGCTGGGCCCCTCAGCCCTTCCCTCACAGATACTGCTGGCTTCCTCCTGCCTCCGCATCCCAGCGGGCACCTGGGCGATGCTGTGGCAGGTGTGGAAGAGGATGGTGGGGTCCGGGTGCGCAAGGCCGTCTTTCAGAGCAAGGAGCCGCTCAGCCACATCATCACGGTGGTCTCTAGAGAAGCCTAAGCAGCAGACGGGGTCAGACACAGACCTTCCCCAGTGACCTCCTAGCACCTCTGCCCCCCCCCCCCCCCACATACACACAGGGCTCACCCTCATAGCCCAGCTGTAAGTAGAGCAGGGAGTAGACACAGCCCACTGCCTCCTGGCGAGTAGCAGGCCACATGTCCGCACATCGTGGGGAGAAGAGGCCAACAAGGAGGCCCAGGTTGTGGAAGGGCACCAGGGCCTGGGATGGAGACAGAGCATGGCGGGTGTAGGTAGGCACAGCCCATGCCTCGGGGCCAGAGGAGGAGTGCTCCCAGCCTGGCTCCTCTCTGGCTGCTATGGCCTCCAGTGAGCTGCTCCTCCCCTCCCCCCCAGCATGGGGTGGGATCTGCTCTGCTCAGCTGACCAGATCTAGTGCACCTGGGCATGCTGGGAAAGCTCACTGAAGTACGTACAAAAGTGCAAAACATCAAGAAACCAGTGAAAGTTCCGGCACATTACAAACAAGCACAATTATCAAGGGAATGAATAATAAGTAATTCTGAGAGGTGACAGAAAGCCCAGTACACATGTGGCATCTCTTCCAAGTCAAAGATTTCATGATCACAAACATGCAGGTGTTTCTGGAACATGCAGAAAAGTAACACTGCCAGTCCAGCCAACTAGCATGGCAGTGAAGGCCTGAGCGTGCCTGACTGGTGACTAAACCCAAGCCGGGCAGGGGCAGCTCCTGGCCAGGACAGGTCCTCCGCCCCGTCAGCCAGAGACTGCGGGATGAGCAGGGACAATGGCGGGAGGAAGCCCAGGGGCCCTGAGCGTGCGCTGGGACAGGAGAGCCGCAGACACAGGGTCCCAGGCAGGGGCAGGGATGGGCACCACGGGACAGCCTCTGGCCCAAGCACTCACACTGACTTGCAGGTGCTCCAGGAAGTACTGCAGCAGGCAGGCACTCAGGCCAAGGGCCCGTGCTCGCTCGTGGCCTCTTGGGGACTTGATCCATGGGCTCAGGTGCTGGGGCAGAGGGTGGCAGCTCTAGAGGCAGCCGAGAAGGGCAGGAACCCCCATCTCTGCGCCCCCGCAAGGAGGGACCCGGCATGCCTCCTGCTTCTGGAGCCACCGCAGCCTCCCCTGCCATCCCTCCTTCCACATGGCTCACACACACTGCCCACCACGGGCAGGGGGAGCCAGCTAGGCCCCCGTCGGGCTCAGGCACCAAGGTGGGTCTGGTGCTGCCTCAGCCCCCCAAGCCCCCCGGGCTCCACGCCATCTCACTAGGCAGGAGTTCTAGTACCAGGGGCTGGGGCCTCCGAGGCTCTGAGTCAGGCCCCTCGGCTCCCCTTACAAATGCCCTGTAGCTCCTACAGGGGGTGGTAATGGTGGGCTGACAAAACAGGGGCTGGCTGGCAGCGAGGGGGTCCCCAAGCCCTCAACAGTGCATGCACAGTACCTCGACCATGACCTGCAGGCCCTGGGGGGTCATGTTCCGCTGCAGCAGGCTGGTCAGCAAGTCCTCCAGGGCGTGGACTGTGTCCAGATACAGGGGCTAGAAGGATACAAGAGCCATCACCTACAGTGCCCCCCCCCCAGCCACCACAGACGCAGGGACGTGAAGAGGGACACGTGGCAGTACCTCCTGGCAGGTGCCATCCTCCTCCTGAGGCTCAGGAGGCAGGGCCATGACGCTGCGCAGGCAGCTGTGGATCACTTCGGCCTGGGCAGGCTCCTCCAACGCTGGCTCCAGGTGGCTGAGCAGCAAGTTAAGGGGCCCAGGTGATGACCCCACGTGGGCGGACTGCCACGCCACACAGCTAAGTTCAGACTCACGGCTTCACCTTGCAAAGCCATGCCTGCGTGTACAAACCCCGGGCCCACGGCAGCCACGCGGCCACAGAGAAGGATACACTAGGTAAGTGCAGGTGAGCATGGCTTTCTTCCGAATGGGTGTTCGCAGGGCGTCCAGGGGTTCTGCCCTGATGAACTCCTGTGTGACGCAGCGCAGCACTCAGACCCGGGAGCAGGCACCAGCCTCCCAGGCCTGGTCCTTACAAAGGGGGCACAGGAGCCCCACAGAGCTCCTCTCTGCATCCCAAGATGCATCCCACACTCACCCCTTGGGCCTCCCCGGCCACCTCCTCTACTCTCAGCCAGCACTCACTGCCCAGTGCTCACCAACATCTGTGCTACCAGCTCCGCTTTCCTCGAGAAGTAGAAGGAGCTGGCCTGTGTGCTGCTGCAGACGGCCTGGCCGACCATGCACAGGCTCTGGACAAGGCACAGCTTCAGGGCCGGGTCCTGGAAAGACACCTGGCTGCAAGAGGCTGCCCACTCCTCTCCCAGTGCTGCTCAGCCTCGATGGGCCGCAGGGCCGCAGGGCCAAGGCCGGTGCACACCCCTCCTCTCTGGTGCAGCCAGAGACGCAGCCACCGTGGCCCTGCAGCCTTCGAGGCAGCCTCCTGGGACCAGGTCAAAGATCTGGGCAGACAGCCCACAGAGCAGACGCCCTGCGGTGAGCCCAGACCCTGAAGCAGAAGACGCCTTGCTGTGGGGCCAGCTGGCCTGTGGCCTCACAGGGGAGCATTCTGCTCCTCGCAGGAGGCTGACAGGTTAGTGCCAGAGGTCCCAGGAGGGAAGCGTGTTAGTGAGGCCAGGCGAGCCTCCACCCCTGGCCCTTAGCCTGTGCTCAGCCCTCCCCTGGGTGGTGCTGGCTGCTAGAGAAGGGCACCCCTGAAGGTATTAGGGAGCAGAGCCAGAAGAGCCTCCGGCTGCCACTGGGAGTGGGACTAAAGCCTTAGAAAAGGGCACTGTTCCAAAGGGAGGCAGGCAGGAGAGGCCCCAGAATCACATTCAAAGCTGCTCCCCTAGAGCTGTGGCTAGGAAGCCCAGTGAGCGCCGGGTCTGGCTCTGCCCCAAAGCCCAGCCCACAGGAAAGACAGAAAAGCACAGTTCCCACGCAATTCCTATACACTGTACCTTGGTTTCTACCTTTATTCCCAGAACCTGAATGACAAAGAGTAAAACAAATTAAGATGTAAGCCTGGTGTCCCGCGGCCCACCCACAGGCGACGGCCACACCCACCTTGGTGTTGAAGCACTGAAACATGTTGCGGAGGATGTCCGACTCCACCTTGGCCAGCACCATCTCTCGCGGGGCCTGGGCGGCCACATGCCCGTAACACAGAATCAGAGCACTCTTTACTTTTTCCACTTCATGCTCACTTCGATCCTGGCAAGCAGAGGAACTGTTACCCTAGGTCCCGGAAAGACATCTGGCTGCAAGAGGCTGCCCACTCCTCTCCCAGTGCTGCTCAGCCGCGACGGGCCGCAGGGCTGAGGGCCTCGGGCCTTGGCAGAGGCCTGCACACACCCCTCCTCTCTGGTGCAGCCAGAGACGCAGCCACTGTGTCCTGGAGCCTTTGAGGCAGCCTCCTGGGACCAGGTCAAGGATCTGGGCAGACAGCCCACAGAGCAGACGCCAGTGACCCTCACCTCCTCCCCCACGGAAGCCTTAGATGGAAACAGCATTTCTGAGCTCCTTCAGTCCTGAAGGGCCAAATCCAGGGAAAGCAGCAGCGCCACACCCACAGCTCAGGTGCCAACCAGGGAGGGAGGGAGGGCCACCAGGGACAAGGTGGAAGTAGAGGGGAACTGCTGGAAACGGATGGAGATGGGATGTGCCTGCACACCAGCCCCGTGCTGGCCTATCAACCTGTACCAGAGTGCACGGCCCGGCACACCTGCGCAGTTACCCCAGGCAGAGATGAGGAAGGAGAGCCCGCAGAGGGCCCATTCACCATCCCAGCACCAGGGAGGCTGACGCAGGCACATCCTGAGTTCAAGGTCCGCTTGGGCTACGTAGCAAAAGAAGGGACGGGAAAGGACAATGGCAGGGTGGGGACAGGTGGGGAAGCCCCCCACTTTCTGAAGTCAGACCTTGGAGAGAACGTAGCCCCTGCTGGCCACCAGGAAGCAAAGGTGGTGCAGGCCGCTTGGCCACACAGCACGAGCCAGCTTGCAGGGTCCCCCGTGAGGGCTCTTATCTGAAGTGTCTCCAAAGCTTAAGTCTCCAGGGAAGCAGTATTCAGAGGCAGGGCCTTTGGAGGTGATCTCCACGAATGCTCTCACCTAGCCAGAGCTTAGTCGGCTTTATCAAATGGAGCCCTTGCTGCTTCCCAGCCACCATCACGCCCTGCCTCGCCACAGGACGAAAAGCAGTAAGGCAGGTAGATGCAGACCATAGTCTCTGAGAGCACAAACCAATAGGAATCTTACCTCCTTAAAGTTCATTTTGTCATAGCCATGGAAAACTCACACCATCCTGCCACCCAGGGTTCCTGTCATCACTCACAACCAGAGCAACCTGTCGCTAGGTGGGTTTGCTTTTGGGGGAGTTTTCTATTTCCTCTTCTGGGAGGGGAGCTAGTGCTCAGGAGAGGGAGCACAGGAAGCAAAGTTGCTACAGAAGCCGGGTGCAGGTGACTAACACCTGTAATCCTAGCTACTCAAGAGACAGATGAGGATCACGGTTCAAAGCCAGAATGGTCAGGAAAGTCTATGAAACTCTTATCTCCAATTAACCACACACACAAAAAAAGCCAGAAGTGGTGCTGTGGCTCAAGTGGTAGGGCTCTAGCCTTGGGCAAAAAAGCTCAGGGACAGTGTCCAGGCCCCAAGTTCAAGCTCCAAGACTGGCACACACAAAGAAAGTTGCTGCAGCACAAGGTGCTGGCTTTTTATTCTACACTGAGCACAGACTACTCTGCCTCTGGCCTTAATGTGATGAAAAGGCAGAGCTGCCCTCAGGGGAAGATCACCAAGACGCTGACATGCAGAGCAACTATGCAAACAGGACACGTTTCCCATCCAGTCCTCCAAACCTTGAAAATGCTGAAGATGCCAGTAGACTTCCTAAACACGTCTGACCTCACGAAGTCCTCCAGCTGTGCCAGAGTGTCCTCGAGGTGGGCGATGGCACAGATCCCAAAGCAACAGGCCAGGCCCTGCAGAGGCCCCGGGTGCTCACTCTTGGGTGGGAGGCCCCACATACCCATTTGCTGTGCACAGGGAGGAGCACATGCCCACTGCACGCAGCATGAACTCACATACATGAGTGGAGGGCCCACCATGCACGCCCTTGTATCTATATGCTCACACGCGCACGCACGCGCACACACGCGCACGCACGCGCACACACACACACACACACACACAGGACAGTGGTAGCCACTGACAGGTAGCCCAGGCACCAGTCTGCACCTCCCGCTCTGCCTCCTCTTGGTACTTGGCTGTCTCCAGCAGCTCCCGGAGGTGTTTTCCCACCACCTCCTTGCTTGAAGCAGCAGCCAGGGCAGTTCCTATGCATTTATACAGGAAGTTCTAAAACCAAGCCAGAGAGCACAGCTGTGGGAAGCTGCCGGCCACTCTGAGCAGGGGCACAGCCCTCCTTTCTGCGCTCCGCCAGGGCCACCAGGGTGAACCAGGGTCCTGGGAGCCATGCCGAGATCTCCCCGCACCTTCTCCTGGGGTGTCTTGCTGTAACAGGGCAGCTGCCTGCACATCTCCTGGCTGAGCTGGCAAATCCACGTGTTGTCAGAAACGACGGCCAGTGTGTCCCGCAGGAACTGTGCGTGAGGGCACCAGTGAGGAGAGGCCTGGGCCTGGCCGTGTTACCAAGTGACCACACCAGGGGGCCCCGCCTGCTGGTCAAGCGCAGCCTCTGAGTTGAGGCTTGGGCCGGGAGAGCCTGCCATGGGTGGGTGGGCAGCCCTGCAGCAGGCTCAGGGCACAGGTGGCTCTGGGCCAGAGAAGAGGGGAGAGAACACTCTGTGGCCAGGGTGGCCGGAAGCCCCTGCGTCTGGTGCTAGCTACCACAGGGTGGGGGCCCATCCCGGCATCTTTAAAGGTGGCCCCTGCCCCTCCCCCGGCCCCACCCCAGCTGCACGGCGGAGAGCGTCTCAGCGCCAGCACACAGGCCCTCGGCCTCTCGCCCATCTCACCACCAGCAGCTTCTCCTCCCATTCCTTCTGTGACAGTGTCTCCTGAGTGTGCTCTGAAACAACCACAGCCTCATTAGCCTGGGTCCCGCGGGCAGGCCCGCCGGAGGAGCCCGCGAGGGGCGGCAGCACCCTGCACCTCCCTGGCTGCTGAGGCTCCACAAAGAGCGAGCAGCCAGCCCAGCACCCACCCCAGCACACAGGGCATCCACGCTGCCCAGGCCTCTTCATATACTTGCTGGGGCTTGAATCTGGGGTCTTGCACTCTTACTAAGCTTCTATGCTCACAGCTGGAGCTCTACCAGCTAAGCCACGCCTCTAGTTCTGGCTTTTAACTGGTTACTTGGAGATAAGAGTCTGAGATTTGTCTGAGTGGGCTGCTTTTGAATCTCAATCCTCAGCTCTCAGCCTCTTGAGTAGCCAGGATTACAGGCTTGAGCACTGCGCCTGGCTATGTCCAGGCCTTTTCCATCACCAGCAAGGTGATTCCCTGAAATGATGAAGCCCTGGTCTATGCCAGCAAGCCCTAAGGCCAGCAGGCACGGCTGGGGTGAGCGTGACTCCAGGACCACAGGCCTCATCACTCCTGCGCTCTTACCATCCAGGTACTCGAGCAGCAGAGGCACAGTTGTCTCCCACCGCTGGCCCAGAGAAGGGCAGATGCTTCCATGCAGAACCTTCAGGAGGCGCAGGGAGGCTGCCCCCCGCCCATCCCCCAGGTAGGGGCTAGAAGACACCACCTGAGGGGTATGAGATAGGAACTGAGCCTCCAGCTGAAGCTGCAGCAGCTGGCTCCCGGCACGTGGAAGCCTGGCCATGTCTGTGGAACACGCCACACTGGGGAGGCAGCAAGGGTTGCATGCAACCCACCAGGCATGGGGCAGAGGGAGCCCATTCTTCTCCTGGCCTCTTCAGAGGCACCAGGGCCACAACTGACAAGTGTCTCCCCCTTAGGGGTGGTAACCAGTGAGCTTGGAAAGAGCGGTGCTCCCCTTACCAGCAGTCTCGTGGTCACAGCGTAGGGAGATGGGAGGCTTGCTGGACAAGAGACATGAGACAGTTACTGAGTGGGGCCGCACGCAGGGCCGCGTGGGATGCGCAGCTGGGGGTCCTGCGCAGGGGCAGAGTGCTGGGATGTGGGGCCTGCGCACCGTGGGTGTCATACTGGACCAAGAAGGCATCTGCACCCGTCTCTTGTCTCTTCAGAGCCAGATGCACCAGGCTCCTGCAGAGTGGGGTCAGGGCTGCGGTGAAGTGCACAGGGGTGAGGAACTCAAGCAGGTACGGCCAGAGGACCTGGGGAGTGGAGAGCCCTGGTCTGCCATGCAGCTAGGTGAGGGTGGCCTGCAGGACAGCCAGACACCTAGAGGGCTCACTTCCTGCCTGTGGGACACGTGCGAGGGCAGGACCACTTTGAGGAATTCAGCTGTGGGCAGATGGTTCTGCTGCTGAGGCTGAGAAGGCCTCAGGGTGCTGGCCTGCCGCCGCCCTGGAGGCCAACTGTCCACCTGTCACCAGAGGCAGCGACAGGGAAGGGGCCAAGTCCCAGGGCAGGGTGGGGAACTCTGGCAGAGCAGGAGGCTGCAGGCCTGGCGTCTGGGCCTGCGGAGGTGCACACTCACGTCACTCATTCTGTCCACCGTGGTGCTGATCAGGTAAAGAGTGCGCACGCTGACGGCCCGCACACTGTCTGTCGCCTGGTCCTCACCGTCGGCTCCTGGCCTCCCAGGCTTAAAGAAGGCGCACAAGGAAAGAGTTCATATGGATGGCTGTCCAGGTACTAGCTTAGCCAAACATAGCAGCAGGGAAAGAAGCAGGCAAACCTGCAGGAGCCGGTGGCTCATGTCTGTAGTCCTAGCTACTCAGGAGGCTGAAATCTAAGGGTGGTGGTTCAAAGCCAGCCTGAGGCAGAAAAGTCAGTGAGACCTTATCTTCAGTTAACCAACAAAAAGGCTGACGTGGAACTGAGACTCAGTGGCAGAACACCAGTATTGAACAATTAAAGCTAAGGGACAGCACCCCAGGCCCTGAGTTCAAGCCCCAATACTAGAACATACACAACAACAACAAAAATCATGCAAGAAGACAGGCCTACCTGGCTCATTTCTCATTTTGCGTGTGTGCGTGTGCACGCACGCCAGTACTGGGGCTTGGGCTCTGGATCTGGGCACTGTCTCTAAGCTTTTGTGCTCAAGGCTAACACTTTAATACTTGAGCCACAGGTGATCAGTTGGATATAAAAGTCTCACAGACTTTCCTGCTCCATCTGGCTTTGAACTGAAATCCTCAGATCTCAGCTTCCTGTAGCTAGGATTCCAGGCGCCTGGCAGTTCTCATTCCTTTTAAGCTACTGATGGCATTAAACTGATTTGCAATACTGATAGAGAATGGGGTTGCCTTTGTGGAAATGATGGGAAGAAGCTCTTGCTTTCTACCTGTGGACTCCGACCTGGCCAGCTAGGAAATGCTAGTGAGTTTCTCCCGAGAAGTCTGCCGTCTTGCTAGTGAAACAATGCTTAAAGCTTTCTGCAATAAAATGGCTTCTAGCTGAGTGCTGGTGGCTCTCTAATTAACCACCAGAAAAACAGAGGCGGCACTGTGGCTCAAAGTGGAAGGACGCTAGCCTTGAGCAGAAAAAGCTCAGGACAGTGCTCAGGCCCAGGTTCAAGCTCTACAACAAGAAAGAAAAAGAGAAGTGGCACTGTGTCTCAAGAGGTAGAGCACTGGCCTTGAGCTGAAGAGCGCAGGGACAGCGCCCAGGCCCAGAGTTCAGGCCCACGATCAACAAAAAAAAAAAGAAAAGAAAAAGAAAAAAAGAAAGAAGAAAAGGAGGGAGGGAGGGAGGGAGGGAGGGAAGAAGGAAGGAAGGAAGGAAGGAAAAAAAAAAGAAAATGTCTTCTATGGTGTGGCGTTGTACTCATTACCTGTAACCCCTTTGTACAACTCCTTAAATAATTAAAAAAAAAAAAAAAAAAAAGGAAAATGACTACTTTTGAATGCCTTGGCATCTTCCACTCCTGCTGGGAAACAAGAAGCTGGTTTTGTCATGGCCCCTGGTTTCTAAGACAGAGATACTAAAAGTCTCCCAGAGTCATGGCAGGCTTGCCAGTTCCTCTTAATTGTCTTAGAAACCAAGGGTCATGTATAAACTGTGAACCTTGAATAATATGTTTTAAAGTATGCTGTAAAAATACAGATAGAGCTGGGCGCTGGTGGCTCACATCTGTCATCCTAGCTACTCAGGAGGCTGAGATCTGAGGATCACGGTTCAAAGCCAGCCCAGGCAGGAAAGTCCATGAGACTCATCTTCAATGAACCACTTAGAAAACAGGAAGTGGCACTGTGGTTCAAGTGGTAGAGCGCTAGCCTTAAGCTGAATAGCTGAGGGACAATGCCCAGGCCCAGAGTTCAAGCCCAACAACCGACAAAAAAAAAAAAAAATACAGGGGCTGGGAAGATGGCTCAGTGAAGAATGCTTGCCTTGCATGCATGAGGCCCTGGGTTCAATTCCTCAGCACCACATAAGCAGAAAAAAGCCAGAAGTGGTGCTGTGGCTCAAGTGGTAGAGCACTAGCCTTGAGCTGAAGAGCTGAGGGACAACACTCCGGCCCAGAGTTCAGGCCCCACAACCGACAAAAAAAAAAAAAAAGACTGAGAATACAAAATCCTGGGTTCAAGCCTAGATAGCAACACACACACACACACACACACACACACACACACACACACACCACACACAGGGAACAGCGAACACATATACACACATACACATACACACACAGGGAACACATATACACACACATACACACACACACGGAACACATATACACACACACATACACATACACACAGGGAACAGCGAACACATACACACACACACACACACACACACACCACACACACACACACACACACACACACACACACACCACACACACACACACACAGGGAACAGGGAACACATATACACACATATACACATACACACACAGGGAACACATATACACACACACACACCACACACAGGGAACAGCGAACACATACACACACACACACACATACACACACAGGGAACACATATACACACACACACACCACACACAGGGAACAGCGAACACATACACACACACACACACATACACACACAGGGAACACATATACACACACATACACACACACACAGGGAACAGCGAACACATACACACACACACACAGAGGGAACAGGGAACACATATACACACACACACCACACACACACACAGGAAACACATACACACACACCACACACACACACACACACAGGGAACACATATACACACACACACACACACAAGGAACAGGGAACAAGGGCCGGCAGGGGAGGGGAGAGGAAGGGAGAGGAGGGGAAGGGACGGGAGGGAAGGGAAGGGAAGAAAATATTCCATGAAATATTACATAAAGAGTTCAAGTAGGGAGGGCTGGGAAGGTGGCTCAGTGGTAGAGCGCTTGCCTTACATGCATGAAGCCCTGGGTTCAATTCCTCAGCACCACATAAGCAGAAAAAAAAAGCCAGAAGTGGAGCTGTGGCTCAAGTGGTAGAGCGCTAGCCTTGAGCTGAAGAGCTGAGGGACAGCGCCCAGGCCGAGTTTAGGACCCATGACTGGACCAAAAAAAAAAAAAGAGTTCAGGTAGGGAAATAATATAATGGATATAACTGAGAAAGAAAGTACTAATTTGGAAGAACAAACTGAAGGTCTCAAAAAAGAAAATTTTATTTATTTATTTTTGGTGCCTGTCCTGGGGCTTGAACTCTGGGCCTGGGCGCTATTCCTCAGCTCTTCAGCTCAAGGCTAGCGCTCTACCACTTGACCACAACGTCACTTCTGGTTTTCTAAGTGGTTTATTGGAGATGAGAGTCTCATGGACTTTCCTGCCTGGGCTGGCTTTGAATTGTGATCCTCAGATCTCAGCCTTCTGAGTAGCTAGGATGACAGGCGTGAGCCACCAGCGCCCAGTTTATTACATAGCTTTATTGCTCAAGGCTAGTGTTCTACTACTTGAGCCAGAGCTCCACTTCAGGTTTGTTTGTTTGTTTTTTGAATAGTTCATTGGACAGAAGAGTCTCATGGCCTTTTCTGCCCTGGATGGCTTTGAGCTGTTTATCCTCAGACTCAGTCTCCTGAGGAGCTAGGATTGTAGGTGAGAGCTACCAATGCCCAGCTTTATTTATTTATTTATTTTTCAGGATGGGGGTGGGGGTGGGGGATGTGCTGGTCCCAGGACCTGAACTCAGGGCTTGAGCTCTGTTCTGGATTTGTTTTTTGTTTTGTTTTTATTTTTTTGGTTCTTTTTCTTTCCTGAAGGCTAGTATTCTACCACTTGAGCACAGTTCCACTTCCAGCTTTTTTTGGTAATTTACTGGAGATGAGTTTCATGAACTGTCCTGCCTGGCCTGGCTTTGAACCACAATCCTCAATCCTCAGCTCTCAGCCTCCTATCAGTAGCTAAGATTACAGGCCTGAGTCACTGGTGCCCAGCTTGTTTTCTGGGTACTACTGAGGACCAAACTCAGGTGTTGAGTTTGCTAGGCAAGTACCGTACTGCTCAAGCTAATCTAAGAAAAACATTGAAAGAATGAAATAGGGGCTGGGAAGGTGGCTCAGTGGTAGAGCGCTTGCCTTGCTTGCATGAGGCCCTGGGTTCGATTCCTCAGCACCACATAAGCAGAAAAGGCCAGAAGTGGGTGCTGAGGCTCAGGTGGTAGAGCGCTGGTCTACAGCTGAAGAGCTGGGGGACAGTGCCCAGACCCAGAGTTCAGGCCCCACAACCAACAACAACAACAAAAAGAATGAAATAGGGCTGGGAAGGTGGCTCAGTGGTAGTGTTTGCCTTGCATGCATGAGGCCCTGGGTTCAATTCTACAACACCACATAAGCAGAAAAAAAGCCAGAAGTGGCGCTGTGGTTCAAGTGGTAGAGTGCTAGCCTTGAGCTAAAGAGCTGAGGAACAGCGCCCAGGCCCAGAGTTCAGGCCCCACGACTGACAAAAAATAAATAAAATAAAAATAAAAGAATGAAATTAAAGAAGTGCTAACACTCAGCCAATCTAAAGCCCTACGAAGTAATTAATTGCCAACCTAGATTAGTGTCTCCAGTGGTATCCCCCACAACTGGAGAAATAAAGACCTTCCATGATAAACAATTGCTAAAGGAATTGATTGGGCACAAAACCAGCACTACAGAAAATGCTTGGAGGAATACTACGGATAGAAAAGAGAGACAAGGGCTGGGAAGGTGGCTCAGTGGTAGAGCACTTGCCTGGTATGCATGAGGTCCTGGTTCGATTCCTCAGCACCATATAAGCAGGGAAAAAAAGCTGGAAGTGGTGCTGTGGCTCAAGTGGTAAAGCACTAGCCTTGAGCTGTAGGGGCTGAGGGACAGCGCCCAGGCCCAGAGTTCAGGCCCACAACCGGACCCCCCCAAAAAAAAAGAAAAGAAAAGAGAGATAGCCGTGCACCAGTGGCTCACACCTGGAATCCTAGCTACTCAGGAGACTAAGACCTGAGGATCTTGGTTCAAAGCCAGCCTAGGCAGGAAAGTCCTTGAGACTCTTATCTCCAAATAACAAGCATAGAGCTGGAAGTAGAACTGTGGCAAAATAGCCCAGGGACAGCACTCAAACCCTGAGTTCAAGCCCCAGGACCAGCATAAAACAAAATAAGAAAAAAAATAAAATCACACACCATGACTAA